AGTCACTTCGAGGTCTGAAGGAGTGTGACATAATTGATTTGTAACTGCATAAAAGGATATATTGGTATTTGCAGCATTATGCACAGCATTGATGTATTGCAGCATAGTAATATCGCCATCGAATCCAGCAGCTTTATATGTTAAAATCTTGTTGAATTAAAGCCATAGAAAGGCCTTCCATGTCAACCAGATGTTAATAAATTAAGCCCTATTAATCAATGACGGAATACCCATGTTGAAACAGAAGCCAGCAGGTTTCTTAAATGATCACAATGGAGAGTTCTAGGTGGCCAATCAAGTTTAAAAAGCGGACTTGCCAAGGCACACGGATTTTCCAAGGGATGGGACGGATTTCCGGTCCCATACTGAGGAAGTGCTAAATGAGAAATCAGGGCCCATGGCGTAACAGCAGAACACAATGGCATGTCATCTGTTGGATAGGCTTCCACTGGTTATGTTAAAGACCTATACGTTTTAAACAAATATAAGATATACAATTCTGTCAGTGGCTGAGTATGCCTGAAGTGCATGTACTGAACCGTATTCCAGAAATATCCTCTTGATAAATATTTCTTTTTCCCTCTCCTGCAAATAAATATTTTTAAAATGCCTCAGTAAAAAGACAAATTTATGTCTCTACATGTGAATAAATACAAAAGTTCACAATAGATTACTGAAGGCAAAGATGTGCTACACCTATGGAGTTCTGCACTTCAGCCCTAGTAACCAGAAGCAGGTTAAAACAGCACATGGAATCTTTCTAAGAGGCAAGGGGTGTTTGTCATGTGCTTGTTATGAAGCTTGTTCAGTATTTTATTTTATTTATTTCATTTCATTTCATTTATATCCTGCCCATTTAGGCCAAAGTCTACTCTGGGCGGCTAAGTTACTGAGTTGTCACTGTGTGTAAGCACCTCTCATATCTAATGAGTATATATGCACTTAGGAGGAAACTTATAAAAGTTGCCCACTAGAATGAAAGATAGGCAACTGGCAAACAATATGCTTGTGTTACAATAGTGCCCAGACTCATGTCAGAGTATGAGCCACTGAACATAGTGGAACTTAATTCTGGATATACATATATAAGAGTGTACTGACAAGAGAAGATTTGTAACAAAGCCCATGAGGGGTGGGGTTTATATTTTGATGCAAAGCACATTTGGATAAGTCATATATTTTTTTTCATTCATCAGTAAAAGTCTTATATGATCAAAGCCAAAATCCACAATTGCAGTTATTTCTTTTTCAGTTCAGTTAGTGATGTGCTTATCTACTAAACCTATGGAAATGTAAAATGGTGAGCCAATATGTAACAAAAGCATTTAGTACAGTTACAGTCCAGTCCAGTTTCTTAGATTTTTCATTTGAAAGAAATCTCGATGACTGGCAAAATCAGTCTATGAAATGAGCAGCCACTTGAAATGTTACCTAACATTGCCAAGCTCTCACTAATCCTGATCTTATAGTGAACTACTGTATATGGCAGCAAAGATTGCAAATCAAAATAAGATTTTATGAACCAAAATGGAGAAAGCCTACCAGTACAAAAAAAAAGCCGTTGGAAGGGACCTGACGAATGCAGGTAGGAACACTCTGGGGGCAGGTTGATGGTTCTAGCAAAGACATCATCTAGGTAAAGGTAAAGGTACCCCTTGACAATTTTTGTCCAGTCGTGTCCGACTCTAGGGGGCGGCGCTCATCCCGCTCTTCAAGCCATAGAGCCAGCGTTTTGTCCGAAGACAATCTTTCCGTGGTCACATGGCCAGTGCGACTTAGACACGGAACGCTGTTACCTTCCCACCGAGGTGGTCCCTATTTATCTACTCGCATTTGCATGCTTTCGAACCGCTAGGTTGGCGGGAGCTGGGACAAGCGATGGGTGCTCATTCCGTTGCGTGGATTCGATCTTACGACTGCCGGATCTTCTGACCCTGCATCACAGGCTTCTGCGGTTTAGCCCACAGCGCCACCACATCATCTGATCAATGGCAAAAAAGAGCAAACCAACCCATTCCCACAGTGGGCCAAATGTCATGTAGTCACCCTCTAACTGAAGCTACATGTTTCAAACTACAGCTAAGGAAAATGCCACCAAGAATTGAAATGCATATTTAGCTTAGTGGGCACACTCAAGAGACCCTCCTCAGAGCCTCAGTTGTGGGAGTGTGCAACTAAGAGGTCTTGGGCTCTTTTTTCACTTTGAATTGGAACACATCTTTTTAATTTTTTTAATTCCACAAATGCCAAACTCAACACAAGTCATCCATGGGGGGTGTTATTCCACTCCATGGCTCTTTGCTGTACTCTGTAGTCACCATGGAGATGTACAAAGAGCCCTGATTCAGTCAGTGAGTTCGTATTAGAGCACAGCATTAATATCTGCTTCTGATATTAAATAATATATAGTATTATATTGTTTTTAACATATAACAATTATTTTATTTTATTTTAGCAGTGAATTGCTTTAAATTGAGAAATCTTTGTAGACATTTTCTGTTGCAGATAGATAGATAGATAGATAGATAGATAGATAGATAGATAGATAGATAGATAGATAGATAGATAGATAGATAGATAGATAGATAGATAGATGGACGGACGGACGG